GCTGCCACCATGCCTGACCTGCCACAACTCCAGACTGACACAACAAATGTTTAACTTTTTAGGTGTGCTCGTCCTTAAGTTATTTGTTTTTGTTATTTTTATGGCCTTTATAACAATTATATTCAACAATTTTTATGAGATCGGGGCCGTTTTCAGTGAAAACTTATTTTGGAAAAGCAACAATAATTTGAAAAAATGGTAGAAGTGATAGTTATTTCGGAAATCACCACATTTCCTCATCAGACTTCTATCAGTAGGATTCGAACTGACGATCACCACTGACTCAGCCAGTTGCCTACGCACTGTGCTAAGTTTGTCTTGTTAATTCTTGTTGCTTCTTTTCTTTTTATTTTCCATTTTATTTCACATTTCACAATAGCTTGTATTTCTTTGCTGAAAATCAACTTGAGTTTGGCATACAATGCTGCCATTGCTGTTCAATAAGAGCGGCAGCAGAAAACTTTAATAGCAGTAAAGTTTTTGAAAGAAATTAAGCTTTAATTCGCATTTAAACAAATTGGTAATACTTGAAATATACTCTATTTAAGATAAATAATTTTCTACCAGATGTGTTAATAAATTAGTTACTATTTTACTTTACAATGTTAAAACAAATTGCAATAAATCTTAAATTAAATAAATTGTGGTAACACTGTTCGAATGCTACTTTGAGCGGAACAGCTGATCTCCAATTCGCTTTGAGTGAGAGTGGTGTTTATACACTCTTTCTAACCGTCTGGAGAAATAAACTACCGATTTGAAATGGAGTGTGAGCCAAAACACTTCACTCTTTCAAAGCGAATTGAAATTCAGTTTATATATATGTTTTGAATCGCGGCGAAATGAATTAAAGCGACTTATGCATGCGTATAAACGTAGTATATATGTTTTGAATCGCGGCGAAATGAATTAAAGCGACTTATGCATGCGTATAAACGTAGTAACAGCCAGAGTCACAAAAATTTCACCAAAAATGTGTGGTGAAAACCAACAGAGACAGGCAACTGATAGCATGTACATATGTATGCCATTTTGCTCGCGCAAATTGCCGAGTGATCAGAGCGCTAGAGTGTCACTTGAAATATCCGAGTTCAAATCCTCGGGTAGGAGAAACCTAGAACCACAACAATACACAATTACCACACAAGATTTAACTGGTTATAAAAAAAAACGCATAATTGGAGGTGCCCTGGGATCGATCACATACACAACTTTTGGGTCAAACGATTCACCTCTACACATCAACGTCTAACAACTCTCATAAATGACATGTTTGAAACCCCACATAAATTGCCAAGCTTCTTAACGATAGACAAACCATTTATAAAACCAAAAAATGCACAAAAAACCAATCCAGCCAACTATAGACCTATAACTTGCCTACAAACTCTCTATAAAATCATCTCATCAGCAATATGTAAAAGCATCGACAAACACCTCACACAAAATAATATACTAACAAACGAACAGAAAGGATGTAGAAAAGACAGTAAAGGATGTAAAGAACAACTTATAATAGATATGCATATAGTGCATTAATCTTTGAAAGAAATATCATATAATGTATGTACCCTGATTAATAATATTAAAAAGTGTATTATAACGACCGTTTAATGTTATATTTGATACAAATTAATTTTGCTACTCGGAACGCTCTGCGCATTGCCACTGAATATTAGGTTTACTTAAAATTACATCCCTGGTCCTTGTTCTTTCTGTATTGCATCGTGGTGAATTCACATTTCTCAGAAATTTTATTTGCTAATTTTTGCGATTTCTAATGTCTAATGTAAGTTTTATGTATTTTTAGGATATGTTGAGGCAACAAAGGCGCAGTTTGAAAATGAAGTTATTAGTATGAAGTAGCAGCGCAGGCACATTTGGAGAATTATGCCGATAAGCAAGATGAAATTTGGGAAAGTAAGTGCCTGGTTGCAGCATATCTATGTATTAAAAAAGTATTTAAATTAATGAAATTGTGCTTAATATAAATGCTACAAATCGAGTGGCGTTATTTAAGATGTGCTCCAAACATTTCCCCGAGTAGTAGCTGAAGTTCAGCAAGAAGCAGGTCAGCAAACGTGCTACCCTGATCAAGCGTAAAATAAAGCGCTCTTCTGTGATTGCACTCCGCAAACGTGAAAACTTAGCAAAATATCTCCGTGACGGACGCCGTGAGAATAAGTTGCGCCGTCTGGCAAAGAAACACGGCCCATTCTACATGCTTGCAGAAGACAAATTGGCTTTTGTGATCTGTATCCGCGGTATCAACAAAGTTGCCCCAAAAGTTCGTAAAGTGTTACTGTTGTTCCGTTTTCGCCACATTAACCACGGTTTGTTCATCAAATTGAACCATTAATATGCTACGCATCGCCGAACCCTATATCACATGGGGTTATCCAAATCTTAAATCAGTTCGTGAATTGATCTACAAACGTGGAATTGTCAAGCACAGTCATCAACGTGTCTCAATCTCTGACAACCTTGTGATCGAACGCCAATTGCGCAAAGCGCACGATATTCAGTGCGTTGATTATTTGGCGCACGAAATATTCACTGTTGGATCCCACTTCAAGAAAGCCTCCAACTTCTTCTGGCCATTCAAGCGCAACACCAAGCAGCGGTTGGCGCAATAGGGCTAATAACTACGTTGAGGTTGGTGATTTCGGTAACCGTGAAGATAAGATCAACAACTGCTGCGCAAGATGGTTTAAAGAAATTTTTTGGTGTACAAGGTGGAGTATTTTTATTTCAAAAATATATAATAAATAAAAATAGAAAATGTGTTTTTTTTGTAACTTTCTGAAGGTTTAAACCGCAAATATGCCAAACGGAAGGCAGCTTATATTCGCAATTCCTTGTGTCGAAATTCCATTGCCGTTTCTAAAGGCCATTTAAAAAGACTCCAATCCACAAATTTAATTATTTGTTTTGGTTTTTCAGCTCATTAATGATGCATCCAGGGTTGCATTTACCGTCTATGAAAATATTTAATGAAGCGTTCCAAAATTAGCTCCGAGCAACTAAAAGTTGGTTCAGCTTAAGTGAAATAGTTTCTTGTTAAATATTTATTCCTGGTACTTATTAAAAAAATCAGATCAATATTAATGTATGAAATGAAGTAAATTAAAATCTACGAATACATTTCTTGAATATTTTGTCATAGAGCCGTTACTAAATACAGACAAAAGGTCGTCGGGCGTTGGTCTTGACGTATATAGAATTAATGCGTTAGAGAGATAAATATACAAGCTAAACTTTTTTGTTAATTAACGATGCATTTTACTAATCAGCCTAATCGTGAGTTTCGCTAGAATTTTTTTCACCCACCCGTAGTGAATACACGGAAACGAAAAGTGAAAAGGTGACTCGGTTCGAGAAAATGAAACTCATGATAAGGCTGAATATGTCGGAAACTAAAGCATATATTTAAAAACAGATGACGCTATTTGAAATATCTTTATTAGTTTAGTACGACAGCATTACCAACGTAATTTTTAGCAAATTAGCGAAAACATTTTAGTCTATTACTCGGAAACTAAAGAAGATATCAAAAAAATTGTTAGCAAAAAATCGAAATATCTGATTTTAAAATATATAACTGCATCTTTAACTAAAAACTGTCAAAATGACGCTTACGGAGATTTTCCACTCAAGAGACGATATTTGAAAGTTACTGGCATAATTTCGAGACTGTATGTAAATTTTCGGCAAAAGTTAAGGAGTATATTCATATGCTGAAAAGATATTTTCGCAAATTCATGATTTATTTAAAGTATATCATCAGCCCTGTTTCCAATTCCATGTGAATAAATCGCCCCCATAATTTAATTTGTGCATTCAATATATTTCACAATTAACTTAAATACTAAATTACAAATATTTGATCAACGACTTCGACACAGTAAAATAAAAAATGGGTATGTATTAATAAAATAAATATTCTAAATACATTTATATTTCGGTTAAACCTGAGATGTTCAAGCGCACTGAAATATTTTTCTATCCATTTCTCTAGTGCTAAAATAATTTTCGCCACCTTGAAATGCTGCACAATACCCTTATTGCCGAATTCATTCAATTTAGATGAGGGCATTTGAGTGTGCTTTTGCATTTTAGCTGGCTGAGCAACAACACCTCCACTAGCTTTATGTTTTGAAAGAGTAATTCGTTTGTTTTCAATTATACTAGGAGCCGGCAAGTTAGTATTATCATTCACTGACTCAATTAATGCGATAAAAGTGCTTTCCAAGTCCGAAATCGCGTTTAGAATTTTATCTTTAAGCCTACAATTGACCGCACAATTAGTACACACACTCGTTATTGCGAGCGATATATAATATTAAACATAAAGCACAGAGCGAAAGAAAACACCTCCGGACCGTCTGAAAGCAAGAATTTTAGTGGTCTTTATATAATATTCGCAATGTTTTTCATTTGATTGTTTTCGCTATTTTTTTTTTATAAAACTAGAGCTCATTATCTATCTAACAAAAACTATATAAATCCAAATACTAAACTTTGTGCAAAAAATTAAAAAAAAAAAATCAACAAAGTTTCATTAGAATTGCAAACTTTTTAGCTAAAATTTCTTGAAATCAATTGCGTACCAAAATACGCATGTAAAGCTATATAATATTTAATTTATCCCCTCTTTTTTCACTTAAGAAGCATCTGTGCGACATTTCTACAATTTAATTTGTTATAAAATTCATGGAATTAAATGAAAACTTAATATTCGCTGTAATTTCTCTCTAAGGTAACGCCACCGCGATTTGTTTTAATTTCACCTGTATTTTTTACATAGGTTTTTATGTTCTTTTTTTATATATCTGTACTGTAATGTCTGCTGACTGCACTTGCAGATACTGCCAATATAGAAGTACTACATATATGATTGAGAAGTGGAAGAATTAAAAAAAGGATGTGACGTATGCGAATAAAACTAGACTGCAAGGTGTACGAGAATTTTTGCAAAACAAAAACTTAATTCAGTGGAGCAAAAAAACAAAACATACAATATTCTGCATAATTTACAAAAATGCTAACAAAAAAAACTTAACCAGATAAAAATACTAGTTTGCCTATATCTACAAAAAAGGTTAGGGGTGTACTAAAAGAAAAAAAGCAAAATGACCTAAGTCCAGGCTATGAGGTACTGATGTCAAGGAGATCACCAACCCGCGAGTTGCCGCTCACGTATGTCTACTCGCTATGCCACAGCGAATTGAGAAAGAAAACGACAGTGAGTACTAATTGCTCAGTTATTTTGCAATAGCGGGCCCAGTGACTTCCACGCGCTCTCTTCCAACTTTTTCAAGTACTTATGTATGTCCAGTGGATTCCTTATATACTTTGTCTTAAGGGACACTCAAACAGACGGGGTATTGGAAGTGCAGTGTCCCTTTACTCTGAAATATGTATCGACTGTGGCTAGTACTTTGTACATACATGTACGTACACAAAATCTTGCAGAAAATCGAGGTCATTATGGACCTGAAACCAATACGTGCTCCGATTACCCTTCCACGTAATAAAATGTTTTTTTTCCCCTTGAGATATTTGCCCTTTATTGAATTATCGTGATTTTTAGTCTCTCTTAAGAAAACAAACTGGGGAATTTTATGATAAATTAACTTAACCCTCTTAATACAATTTTTTATTTTTTGATATTAAATTCAGTGTCGGATAATGCGGCGCAGGGTGGAAGAATCCTCCTCAACTTTGGCCAGATCTCCCTACGCACAAAGGGGGACGGGGTGACAGCAAGTCATCTAGCGCACAGAGACAGCCAAGGAGCAGCAGCCCAGGCATCTCGCAAGACCCAGTGAACGGAAGTCTACGTTGTTCCGTCCCGGGACCGTGCGGAACAGGTCAGGTAAGGCGATAGCGCTGATCAGGCTGGCGTCAGTGGCGAGAGCGCGAAACCTTCCTCAGTCTCCTCTACCCTGGAGGTGTCTCAGTCACCAAAGGCGGGCAAAGGCAACACCACCCATGCCCGCTCTACTAAACTGGTGGCGAGACGTACACCCAAGGCAGGCGAAGGTAACACTTCCCATGCCCGCCCAACCAACACTGGCAAAGGTCCACACTCGACTCGCCGCTTACATGGGACGAAGCTCCCGAAGTGGATGAGGAAGGGTAACCAGCCGGACGACTCGAAAAATTAATATGGTAGTAAGGTGCATCCAAATAAACTTTCAACATACCAAGGCGGCTTCAGCGGTCCTGGCACAAACGTTTAATGAGGATCACTTTGATATCGCCTTTATCCAGGAGCCGTACATTTATGGGAACCAGATAAAAGGACTACCAGGTAAGCTATTCTATGACTCCTTCAACGAAGGACGGCCTAGAGGCTGTCTGATGATAGCTAATCATATCAACGCCTTTCTCATTCCAGAATTTACCAATAAGGACCAGATTTCAGTGCAGGTGAGCCTATCTCTCAGAGAAAACACGCAAGAGTTAGCCATTTGCTCAGCGTACCTCCCAGCGACTCCAGAGATTACGAGTTTCTGCTACGACATGGACTAGTGGACTATTGTGGCAGACATAAACTGCAACTCATCGTGGGATGTGACGCTAATGCCCACAATACCATATGGGGCAGCAGTACTTACTTGAATTTATTAGCCTAATTTGGTTAGAAATTTTAAACGAAGGTAACTCCCCACTTTTAGGAACAGTATACGGGGCGAGGTTCTAGATCTCACTCTATCCACTCCTTTCATCAGTAATTTCGTCAAAAAATGGAAAGTGTCCAGAGAAATTTCTTTATCAGATCACATGCACATCCGTTTTGAAATTGAAATCACATTAGCAACTGCTACCACCTACAGAAGACCAACAACCACAGATTGGGATCTATACGATGCATTTCTGCAGGACAGTCTAAAAAGGTGCAAGCGAAAGGTAAATGACTTAGTCGAACTTGAACTTACCCAGCAAACATTGAGGTTAGTTATCGATTAGAGAATGATTGGAGAACTAGCCACATTCTTCAATCTCAAACGTTAGAGTACGACTCGAAAAACCATCGAGAATCATAGCGATCTCAACAAAAATGGGACATAGTTCTCGACTCGAGAAAATATTAATTCTCTAATCGAATTCTAATGTTGATCTCTAATGGGATCCGAAATGAATTTCAAACTGCTGTTTTGCTTTATTTAATAATTGTTTGCAAAATTTGTATTAAATGTATTCGCAATAAAATAATAATGGATTATTTGAACTTAAAAATCTATATATATAATACGCGAAGGCAATTTTTGTGCAGCATAAAAGATCTTCGCCGTTCGTTCGATTTTCAAAAATGGGGTGTCAAATTAAAGCGCTTGGCCTGTAGATGTGCAATAAGGTTTCACTTTTTCGAAAAGAGTTGCTACCTGTTAAATAATTAAACTCAAGTTATTTACTAAACAATGCCCTCAGATCCGCACCGTCCGTTCGATTTTCAAAGGTGAGGTACCAAATTAAAGGGCTTAGGATGTGGATGTTCAAGAAGGTTTTACTTTTTCGAAAAAAGTTGCCACCTGTTAAGAAATTAAGCTCAAATTAATTAAAAAAATACATAAATTATTAAATATGGGTATCAATCTAAATGGTTTTGAGAAGGCTTTATAACTTAACTACGTTTAGGAGGGTTGCCACATGTTCAAAAAAATGTAATTCTATTTTAATTAAAGGAATTAGG